TATATATATATATATATATATATATATATATATATATATATATATATATATATATATGGAGGGAATGGCTAGTTTTTTTATAAGAGGAAAATGGCAAGAGGAAGTGTATAAAAGAGGAGACCAGCACTTGGAAGGTTGTGTTTGAGAAAAAAGGACCAAGCAAAGATTTACCATTAAGTGTGTGTCTTACGTATTCAAGGTTAAAACATTCATTGAAAATCATCTCTTATAATTACAAGAAGAAATATTTCTGGAAACAAAACAACAAAGTGCTGAACACATATGACCAAGCTTTTCAATAAGAAAGGAGTCTGATAAGCTTATTGACGATCTAATTCTGTAAAAGATGAGCAGGTTGGATATCAATCCAATTAAGGCAACCCACATGAACATATGCCAGCGGCGAAAAACAAGGCATTCCCTGAAAGTTTAGAGTCCTAAAGACACCATTTTGAGGATCATATAAAACAAAATTCCCACCGTCGTACTGAAGCAAGAGCTCTCCATTGTTCAACAGGCACACAACTTTCACCAGTCGCAGCAGATGTTCAGTGCCAATATTTGGAGTTGGTGTACAAGCCCCAATTATGAACTCCTTCACCCATCTCTTTCACATTATATTCTTTCATTACCCAAATTTCTGTTCCTCCACCTTTTTGGCGAGGCAAAGTTAGAGCAACAGCAAGACAATCTCCAAGAACTGCTAGATGAAACTTGTGAATTCTTGGCTTGGCAACAAAATCAACCTTTGGAACTACAGAAAATACCTCAGCAGCAAAATCAAAGGAAACGATAAGCCTATCACGACGTCCATAATACTTTCCAAATCGAGTCAACCAATGCATCTTCCCGTTTAACATAATTCCTTGATACTTTGACTCAATAAGGTAATCAACTTTCTCAATTCTTCTCCAACTGTTGCCACCAAGAGTAAATACTTCAACTTTTGAAACATTAAATGAACGGCCGTCAACATGAAACAAATTGTCATAATATATGATCTTGATCACCTTGTACTCTTTGGTAATAGGATGAAAACCAAACCCTAGAACAAATTCTTCCTCAAATGGTCTGATATCGCAAGGCAGCTGCTTGTAGTCTCCTGTAAAAGGATTGTACACATAAAGTGCATCACCAAACAGACAATCAAATGTGCACAATAGCCCATGACATGAACCAATCACTACATTTAATCCAGGCACAAAGTTTGAAAAAGGGGTGCTGATTTTACTCACAACTTTTTCCATACCAAGATCAGAAAGTTCAAGAAAGTAAAGCTGATTATCCTCCACATGAAAAATAATGCAAGGATCGTTCTTTAGTGCATGAGACAGGTGCAAATTCACAAGCTCAGGATCATGAGACAAGTTGTAAAATGATTTGCGAACAAACTTGAATTGGACTAGAGATGTTATTGGAAGCCTGGAAGCTATGTCAAGGACAATTTCTTTAGGTAGGGAATCGAATCCATATCTTGTGGGAGGTTCATCAGATTGACACTTCTGTTTGTTGGTTTCTGTATCCATGACACATACAAAAAATAGCTACAGGCTTGGAAATGGATTCCTGGACTTTTAGGAACTCTGGTAAACAAAAGAGTATGTTCTTTTAGATGTCTGTTGGAATTACTGCAATTCTTTGGTTATAATGCATATCTTGGTAATGGTTGATAACTTTTCATTTCTCCAAATGTCTTTTAGTTTTTTCAAGAGCAATCTTTTAGGAAATTGTAATGTATTAGTTGTGCAAAAGATTCTTGAGTTGCTCTTTTGAGTATTTATACTTCTGTATGATCAAGTGAATAAAATATACTCCCTCCGGTCCAAAATAAGTGATTTTTTGGATGTTTTCACACAGATTAAGAAATCCACCTTTTAGCATTAATTAGCAATGGAATTGACCATATTAACCTTTACTATCTCACATAAACACTCCTAACACATATTCCAACACTATTTACTCCAAGGACAATGTAGGAAAAAAATAATTAATTCACTCTTGAAATTTGAAAAAATCACTTATTTTGGATCACAAGAAAAAGGCCAAAAAATCACTTATTTTGGACGGAGGGAGTACTGTGAGGAACGAATCTGAATGATTTCCCTTAGGCAAACTTATTCAATGTATGCAACAATAGGCAATAGTATTTCTTCTTAAACACATTCTGTGAAATTTTCCTTCTACTAATGTATCCTGGGTATCGAATTTTCATTAAACCATTTGCATAGAGTGAAAAATTATAACCTCAAGATAGTTTTCTTGAAACGCGTCACCTACATTCTTTCCATATTTTTCACTAAAATTCTCTTGCACAATTTTACAATTTTAGATTATTTTCTAAATTTTCTATAATGTTTATGCAAGTGGTGGTGGAAATGTAGATGTCGTTTAATAGCAATATATTGATAACATTGTGCCATTGAGTCACTACTATTTTTTCTAGAAAGAAACAATACAACAAAAGAAAGAATCATTCGATCTATATTTATTTTCATGAGCTAAGATACCTTTATCGACTTGATAAATAACTTTAGAGATCTATTTAAGTGTTAGAAAAGTATTTGTTCCAGTTCGAGGGGAGAGTGCGGTAGTTTTGATTTTGAATTGATTATGTTTTAGTCGTTCAGAAAAAAAGTTAGTCTTTCTTTGAATTGTAAGTCATTTCTTTGACAATTTTATACATAATTTTCTAAGTTTCCTTTTATTTTTTATTTTATTTTACTGTATGACGCTGAAAACTTCATATTATAAACTAAAGTTCTTTCTTATGTTTTTTTTCGAGGTTGGAGGATTGATAGGGAATAATATTTTGCTCATAGTTGCCTAGATTAAGCGAAGAAAAGAGAGGAAGATTGAGAAAAAAGAAAAAAAAAAAAAACAAATGCGAAGTGAAGGAAAGTTTGGACCTATTCAAATTGTGTCATGATTGAGTCAGTTCCTTGTTTTTTGGCGTCAGCCTTTTCTTTCATAAACAATAATACTCCTAGTAGTTTGACAATACATATATTAAAGTTTTGAAAGTATTTTTTGATATTTGAAAAAAAAAATAATGTTAACCAACAAAAAAAGAAACTCATTTTTACGATTGTTCACTGCCGGTAGTGATTACTCATTCATTTTAAATGGTTATGTTAGGATCATATTTGGTTGAAGTTTGAAAAATTAGTATTTTAAGTTAAAAGTTGAAATTGTGTTTGATATGAATTTCACTTAGAGAAAAAGTTAGAAAGAATTTATGTCCGACTCTTCAATCGAAAAAAAGACGGTAGTGGGCGAGTCGGCTGGGAAAAAACAAGCTTAACACGTCTTTCTTTATCTTTTTCATATCTGAATGTCTTTGTCAAGTTGGTTGGCATCATTCGTTCCGGGCGTGGACATAAGGGTCTTTATGACACAATTAATAATTTGCTTACGATGCAATTATCAGGGGCGCGCTCTACCACTGAGCTAATAGCCCGTCGTGCGAGCCTCCCACTGGGGGCCCGCTATGCCAAAAGCGAGAGAAACCCCATCCCTCTATTTGTGAGAAAAACATTACTTCCTTTGAGATACTCAAACAAAACTTTTAGGTTCAAATTTTTAATTTAAAATTCAATTTTAGATAATCGATAAGGTTATAAAATAAACATTGAATTGAAAGTAATGTGTGTTCAAATAGGCTTATAACTCGAAAAATTCTTAAAGTATGCATATAAAGAAAATTTAGCATTTTGCAGTACAAACTTTATATAATGATATTAGATAAATGTGCAACCTACGTTCAAAGAGACATGTAACATATACCAATTCCTTCCAAAGTGGAAGTGTCGTACCCAACTCCCAGTTCCCAAATCCCAATCGTCTTTTACTTTCTTTTCCTTTTTTAATAAACATATATTAAAGGTCATTGTTTAACAAAAAGCTACTTAATAAAAAAATTTCTAAAATTATGATGACCCGATAGGTCATTTCATGTTTTGTGTCACAATCCGGATTTTTCACCCTCGGGAGTCGTGATGCCGCCTACTCGTAGAAGCTAGGCAAGCCACGAGTATAGAAATTTTAACTCTTTCATTTTAATCTTTTTTAACAACTTGAATTAATAGGCAACCAACAATTTAAAGATTAACGATAACAGAATAAGCGGAAGACTTAAACAGCTAGAAATGATCAAAATCAGTAATACAATGCCAATATACTCCTCTACCCGGAATCTGGTATCACAATATTCACGGACTGTCTAAGAATACTACATACAAATGTCTGAAAAAGGAAATACAGTTTATCTCGGATACAAGTGAAAACAGAACATATAACTAGATAGAAGAGAACGTCGGGCCTGCGGACGCATGCAGGACTACCTCGGGATCTCTGGGTAGACTGAAGGCTGGCTCCCCAAGTGCTAATATCCCAGTGCTGCTCCGGTATCTGCACAGAGTGCAGAGTGTAGCATCAGCACAACCGACCCCATGTGCTGGTAAGTACCTGGCCTAACCCTGGTGTGGTAGTGACGAGGCTAGGACCAGACTCCAGATAAACCTGTGCAATTATATAATATACGGCGGAAAAATAAACAAGAATAAACAGTTTAAATGGGAGGAGGTACATGCTTCGGGGAACACATCAAATACAGCAGAAATAAAGAGAAGTATGAGAGAAACAATTCAAAATCTACAACAAAGCAATAATAACACTGCTGCGGCGCGCAACCCGATCCATTTGTAACAATGTTGTGGCGTACAACCCGATCCAATATAACATTGTTGTGGCGTGCAACCCGATCCAATATAACATTGTTGTGGCGTGCAACCCGATCCAATATATATAACACTATTACAGCGTGCAACCCGATCCAATATAACATTGTTGCGACGTGCAACCCGATCCAATATATTTACATACCTTAAACTAAACCATACCACGAGTCCCGGCAAGGGATCAACAATAAACTACACTATCCCGGCAAGGAAATTCAACAGTAAAAGTATATACGTCCCTGATAATAGGTGAATTTGACTATAATCACGCACCAAATAATCACCTTCTTGTGAACTTTTAATGTGAAAAATGACAACAAAATGCTCTTATTAGTGCTTTACATGATTTGCAGGTGATATAGGTGTAAGGAAGGCTAAGGAGCGGTTTTGGAGTCAACTATTGATGAAAAAAGGCTAATTGTTGAATTTCCCAAGTAACCCATTCAAAACAGGCCAAAATGCCCGGGTACAAGTTCCACCGCGGTTCTACCGCGACCGCGGTGAAACCGCGGTGGAAGGCAGTCTCTGAAGGTTGAAGATTTCGCGAGGGCGTTTGACCGCGGTTCTACCGCGACCGCGGTAGAACCGCGGTAGGCACAGTAAACTTCGGGGACTTAAGTGTAAAACACGGGATTTTTAGACCTAAACCCTATTTAAAACGCTAGACTTCGCCCAAGAGAGGCATGTATTGATTTTTTAGGTTTCTTAGCAAGGAAAACAATTGTGAGCAAGTACTCTAAACATCTTTCTTCCTTTCTTTTGATTTTTATGATGAATTCAAGCGTAGTTTATTCTCCCATATCTATGAGTAGCTAAATTCCTTGTCTAAGGCTTTGATGGAACCTATTGGGTGATGAACTTCTTGTTTATGTGAATACAAATTGCAAGTTTAATCTTTATTTGTTCAACTTCGTGTTCATTGTAGTTAATTGACAGGATCCTCAATTAGCTGTACCTATTTAGTATGCATAACTTGGAAAAGAGTGCATATTTAGGATATTGTTGAACAACACCACTCCTAGATTATTAGAGGAATCTATAATTGCGGGTTTAAAGGCGGGATTAGGAATAACGAAGCCTTGGGTGCAATCTAAATTGAATTGTGCTAAATAAAGCAAGCTAGTGTATCTCGGGAGAGTGCAATAGTAGATTACTGTAATTACTCGGGAGAGATTTGCGGTAAGATTAGCGTTCATGATTGATAGAGATGTGTGGGTAAATTTGTATGAGCATAAACAGAAGGGATTCCATCAATAGGGGAAATCATTGCCTTAGCTTTTTCTCATAATTGTTTACAACCCTTCTAATTTAGTTATAGCCTTTTAATTACTTGCAAACTAGTTATTAAAGAACACTCAACTGAGAATTTGAATATTTGAGAAGCTGGTTCTGAAGACTTGGTGGGTCTGAAGGTAGCAGTTGATAGGTTAACTCTCTGTGGGATTCGACTCCGGACTTGTAAACCGGATTATATTTGCAGCGACCGCATTGTCCTTTTATACGGCATAGTTGGGCGTGATCAGTCCCGGCAAGGGAGAATCAGCTATAACCAATCTTAACTCAACTCCTACTCAACTCAATTAAAACCAATACCCAATCATAAATAAATTCCACGAAAATAAACTAAATCCTTGGTCAATATTAAGAATCACCAATTAAAGCATCTGTAGTATCATTTAAGAACACAACAACTATCAATTTAAGACTCACGGTCATGCTCAACACCAACGTATAGATACTCGTCACCATGCCTATACGTCGTACTCAACAAGAAACAATTAGCAAATAGGACGCAACTCCTAATCCCTCAAGCTAAGGTTAGACCGAACACTTTCCTCGAAATTCCACGGCCAACTCAAGCCTCAAACACCGCCTTTCCTTTCGAATTCGGCTCCAAATCAATTGTATCTAGACATAATCAAATCAATAACATCAATAAATGCTAAACAATCCAATTCCAATACTAAATTATAGCTTTCTAATCATTCTTCCCAAAAATCCAAAAATTGACCCCGGGCCCGCTTGGTCAAAATACGAGGTTCGGACCAAAACCCGGTCACCCATTTACCCACGAGCCCGAATATATAATTAGTTCCAAAATTCAACCCCAAAACGAGGTCTAAATCACAATTAATTAAAAAGCCTAACTCTACTCAAATCCCTAATTTTCTACCCTTAAGAACATGATTTAAGCCTAGAAATCTAATGGGTGTTAATGAAAATTGAAGAAAATGAGTCTAAGATTACATACCTATGAATTGGTGGTGAAATCCCCTTTCAAAAATCGCCAAATTTGGAGTTAAGATGAAGAAGTGATGAGTTTTGGTGTAAATCCAGTAATGGCTACTGTTCTGGTCTTTTAAAATAATTGGGCGAAATTACCCATCGTGTTCGCGACAGGTTCATCACGTTCGCGAGGGGTTAGGCCTGCTAGGCCATCGCGTTCGCGGAAGACGGCTCGCATTTGCGGAGAAGTGATCCCTCGAGCCTTCGTGTTTGCGTCCATGTGGTCGCGCTCGAGTAGGTATAATACCCCTCCCCTGCCCAGGCTCAATTAGCCTTCGCGTTCGCGTGGCCAGGACTGCGTTCGCGAAGGGAAGGCCCACCAAGGCTTCGCGTTCGCGACCTGGCTTTCGCGTTCGCGTAGAAGGAATTATCCTTCAGCACAATTAACACATCGTGTTCGCGAGGGTCCTCCCGCGAATGCGAAGAAGGAAATATCAGAATACCAACAGCTGAAAACCTGCAACTTTTTAAGAGTTTAAAACCTTCCGAAACACATCCGAAACTCACCCGAGCCCTCGGGGATCCAAACCAAACATACGTACTAACTCAAAAAAAATCATATGAACTTATCCATGCGATCAAATTGCTAATTGAACATCATTAACAACGAATTAAACCTCAAATCAATGAAATATTCCAAAACTTCTTAGAGCATCAAACTTTGCATTTACGGTCCGAATCACGTCAAACGGATTCCGTTTCTTACCAAACTTCAGAGCGTTATCTTAAATCACCCAGTAAGACCTGTACTGGGTGCCGGAACCAAAATACGGGCCCGATACCAACCCGCGTGCCCAACTCTCGCTGAACTGCTCTCCAGAAACGCAAGGTAAACTGCGTACCTCGGTCCGAAATGATAGAAACAGGCACACCATGAAGACGAACAATCTCCCGAATATAGATCTCTGCTAACCTGTTGGATGAATAGGAGACTGCCACAGGAATAAAATGCGCTGACTTGGTCAGCCTATCAACAATGACCCATACTGCGTCGAACTTCCTCCGAGTCTGCGGAAGTCCAACAACAAAGTCCATAGTGACCTGCTCCCACTTCCACTCGGGAATCTCAATCCTCTGAAATAAACCACCAGGCCTCTGATGCTCGTACTTAACCTGCTGACAATTCAAACACCGAGCCACATATGCAACAATATCCTTCTTCATTCTCCGCTACCAATAATGCTACGGCAAATCTTGATACATCTTCGCGGCGCCCGGATGAATAGAGTACCGGGAGCTATAGGCCTTGTCTAAAATCAACTCTCGTAGCCCATCCGCATTAGGCACACAAACTCGACCTTGCAATCTCAAAACTCTATCATCATCTAAGGTAACCTGCTTGGCACCTCCGCGCTGCACCGTGTCTCTAAGGACACACAAATGGGGATCATCATACTGCCGATCACGGATACGCTCCAATAAAGAAGAACGAGTGACCGTGCAAGCTAACACACGACTAGGCTCAGAAACATCCAACCTCACGAAGTGATTGGCTAAAGCCTGAACATCCAAAGCAAGCGGTCTCTCACCGACCGGAATATAAGCAAGACTACCCATACTGGCTGACTTCCTACTCAAAGCATCGGCCACCACATTGGCCTTTTCCGGATGATACAAGATGGTGATATCATAATATTTCAACAACTCCAACCACCTCCTCTACCTCAAATTCAACTCCTTTTGCTTGAACAAATACTGAAGACTCTTGTGATCCGTGAACACCTCACATGCCACGCCATACAGATAATGCCTCCAAATCTTCAATGCGTGTACAATGGATGCCAACTCTAAATCATGAACCAGATAGTTCTTCTCATGAATTTTCAACTGCCGCGAAGCATAGGCAATGACCTCGCCATCCTGCATCAGCACTGCACCAAGTCCAATACGAGATGCATCACAATAGACTGTATAAGGCCCTGAACCTGTGGGTAAAACCAACACCGGTGCCGTAGTCAGAGCTGTCTTGAGCTTCTGAAAGCTCGCCTCACACTCGTCCGACCATCTGAACTGGGCACCCTTGTAGGTGAACCTGATCATCGGGGCTGCGTTAGATGAGAACCCTTCCACGAACCGACGATAGTAGCCTGCCAATCCCAAAAAACTCCGAATCTCTGTAGCTGATGTTGTTCTAGGCCAGTTCTTGACTGCGTCAATCTTCTTCGGATCAACCTAAATACCCTCTGCTGATACAACATAACCCTGGAATGCAACAAAACTCAACCAGAACTCACACTTCGAGAACTTAGCATATAACTGACTATCCCTCAGAGTCTGAAGAACCACTCTGAGATGCTGCTCGTGCTCCTCCTGGCTGCGGGAATATATCAAGATATCATCAATGAAGACTATCACGAATGAGTCCAAATAAGGCCTGAACACTCGGTTTATCAAATCCATAAAAGCTGCTGGGGCATTTTTCATCCCGAATGACATCACCAAGAACTCATAATGCCCGTACCGAGTGCGGAAAGCTGTCTTAGAAACATCGGATGCCCTAATCCTCAATTGATGGTAGCCAGATCTCAAGTCAATCTTCGAAAATACCTTAGCACCCTGAAGCTGATCAAACAAATCATCAATCCTCGGCAATGGATACTTATTCTTGATTGTAACCTTGTTCAACTGCCGGTAATCAATACACATTCTCATCGACCCATCCTTCTTCTTAACAAACAACACCGGCGCACCCCAAGGCAAAACACTGGGTCTAATGAAACCCTTCTTATGCAAGTCTTGCAACTGCTCCTTCAACTCTTTCAACTCCGACGGGGCCACACGATACGGCGGAATAGAAATGGGCTGAGTGCCCGGAGCCAAATCAATGCAAAAGTCAATATCCCTGTCGGGCGGCATGCCCGGTAGGTCTGAAGGGAATACCTCAGGAAACTCACGAAAAATGGGCACAAAATCAATAGAAGGAACCTCAGCACTAGAATCACGAACATAGGCCAAATAGGCCAAAAACCCCTTCTCGACCATACATCGAGACTTCACATAAGAGATAACACTATGGGTAGAATGACCAGGAGTCCCTCTCCACTCTAAACGAGGCAAACCCGGTAAGGCTAAGGTCACAATCTTGGCATGGCAGTCCAAGATAGCGTGGTAAGGGGATAACCAGTCCATCCCCAATATGACATCGAAATCAACGATGTCCAGAAGAAGCAAATCTACACGAGTCTCAAGTCCCCAAATCACAATTATACACAAACGATGGACTCAATCTACCATAATAGAATCACCCACCGGTGTAGACACATAAATAGGAGCACTCAATGAATCACTAGGCATGACCAGATACAGTGTAAAATAAGATGACAGATACGAGTATGTAGACCCTGGATGAAATAACACTGAAGCATCTCTATCACAAACCAGAACAGTACCTGTGATAATCGCATTTGAAGCCTCGGCCTCGGGCCTGGCTGGAAGAGCATAACATCGGGGCTGGGCCCCACCACTCTGGACTACATCTCTGGGATGGCCTGCAGCTGGCTGGGCTCCACCTCTGGCAGTCTGGGCTCTACCTCTAAATCCTCTACCTCCACCTCTAGCACCTCTACCCCCACCTCTAGCTGGCTGGCGGGCTGTGGAACACCTGATGCCTGAACCATAGCACGGGAACCCTGCTGCTGCGACTGAGTACCCACCAACCTCGGACAAGCCCTCCTGATATGACCATACTCACCATACTCAAAACATCCATCTGAGTGCTGCGGCTGAGGAAACTGAGACCGACCCTGGCGACCTGAATGACCACCCTGGAAACTCTAGAGCGGCGGTCCACTGATAGGAGGGGACGGTGCACTGTAGGGCTGCTAATCAGAATACCGCATGTGAGAACCACAGCCACCTGAAGTACCGTGAGAAACCTGAAGTGCTGACTGAAAGGGCTTGGGAGGATGGCCTCTACCATACGAATCCCTGCCTCCAGACGAGGCACCACTGAATCTGCCTGAATGACGGGGCCTCTTATCCGACCCATGACCACCTCCCTGCGACAGAACCATCTCCACTCTCCTGGCCACATTGGCCGCCTCCTGGAAAGTAATCTCACTCCCAGCCTCCCTAGCCATCTAAAGACGAATCGGCTGAATAAGACCGTCAATAAACCTCCTCACCCTCTCTTTCTCGGTAGGAAGTATGACAAGAGCATGGCGAGCCAAGTCGATGAATCTGGTCTCATACTGGGTAACAGTCATAGAACCCTGCTGGAGACGCTCAAACTGCCTCCGATAGGCCTCTCTCTGAGTGATGGGGAGAAACTTCACCAGATAGTTGTGTAAAGTGCTACCAAGTTAAGGATGGCAATACGGCCGGTCTAGACAAACAGAAATCCCTCCACCAAGTCTTGGAGGATCTTGAGAACTTAAAAGTAGCAAAATCGACCCCATTGGTCTCAACTATACCCATGTTCCTGAGAACCTCGTGACAGCTGTCTAGATAATCCTGGGGATCCTCAAAGGAAGCACCGCTGAAAGTAGTAGTGAAGAGCTTGGTGAACCTGTCCAATCTGCACAAAGCATCGGCAAACATAGCTGCTCCATCGCCGGTCTGAGCTACCAGACCCGGCGGAACTGCTCCAACTGGCTGAACCGCTGGAGTCTAGAACTGGGGAGCTACCTGCTCCAGAGTGCGAGTAGCAGGGGTCTGGGCTCATCCAGCCTGAGAGATGGCTGGTACTATACGAAGCAAGCCTGCGCAGGTGACACTCTCCATAAGGCCCACTAGACAGACTAGAGCATCCTGAAGAACTGGGGTGGCAATAAACCCCTCTGGGTCTTGAGCTGGGCCCGCCAAAACTGCTAGGGTCGGAACCTCATCATTAAAATCAACCTGAGGCTCCGCCACTGGTGCTGCTGCTTGGGGCTGAGCTTTGCCCCTACCTCGGCCTCTGGCACGGCCTCGTCCTCGCCCTCTGCCCCTTGTAGGAACTGCTGCTGGGTTCTCGGGCTGCGGATCGGTGGATGAGGAAGCGTGTGTTCTCGCCATCTGTGAACGAACAGAGTAGAAATTTAATTAGCATTGAGAAACAAAACCGCAAGACAAGAAAGAACAAATGTGAAGTTTTTCCTAACTCTCTAGCCTCTGGGGGATAAATACAGACGTCTCCATTCCGATCCCTCAGACTCTACTGAGCTTGTTTGTGAATTGTGAGATCAATGTAACCTAGACTCTGATACCAACTTGTCACGGCCCGAATTTTCCACCCTCGGGAGTCGTGATGGCGTCTACTCGTAGAAGCTAGGCAAGCCACGAATGTAGAAATTTTAACTCTTTCATTTTAATCTTTTTAATAACTTGAATTAACAGGTAACCAACAATTTAAAGATTAACGATAACAGAATATGCGGAAGACTTAAACAGCTAGAAATGATCAAAATCAGTACTACAATGCCACTATACTCCTCTACCCGGAATCTGGTGTCACAATATTCACGGACTGTCTATGAATACTACATACAAATTTTTGAAAAAGGAAATACAGTCTGTCTCGGATACAAGTGAAAACAGAACATATAACTAGATAGAAGAGAACGTCGGGCCTGCGGACGCCTGCAGGACAACCTCCGGATCTCTGTGTTGACTGAAGGTTGGCTCCCAAGTGCTATTGTCCCAGTGCTGCTCAGGTATCTGCACAGAGTGCAAAGTGTAGCATCAGCACAATCGACCCCATATGCTGGTAAGTGCCTGGCCTACCAGCGAGGTAGTGACGAGGCTAGGACCAGACTCCACATAAACCTGTGCAATTATATAATATAGGGCGGAAAAATAAACAGGAATAAACAGTTTAAATGGGAGGGGGTACATGTTTCGGGGAACACATCAAATCCAGCAGAAATAAAGAGAAGTATGAGAGAAACAACTCAAAATCTACAACAAAGCAATAATAACACTGTTTTGGCGTGCAACCCGATCCATTTGTAAGATTGTTGCGGCGTGCAACCCGATCCAATATAACATTGTTGCGGCGTGCAACCTGATCCAATATAACATTGTTGCGGCGTGCAACCCGATCCAATATATATAACATTATTGCGGCGTGCAACCCGATCTAATATAACATTGTTGCGGCGTGCAACCCGATACCAATATATTTGCATACCTTAAACTCAACCATACCACGAGTCCCGGCAAGGGATCAACAATAAACTACACTATCCCGGCAAGGGGATTCAACAGTAAAAGTATATACGTCCTGGCAAGGGAGAATCAACTATAATCAATCTTAACTCAACTCCTACTCAACTCAATTAACATCAATACTCAGTCATAAATAAATTCCACGAAAATAAACTAAATCCTTGCTCAATATCGAGAATCACCAATTAAAACATCCGTAGTATCATTTAACACAACAACTATCAATTTAAGAATCACGGTCATGCTCGACACCAACGTATAGATACTCGTCACCATGCCTATACGTCGTACTCAACAAGAAGAAATTAGCAAATAGGACGCAACTCCTAATCCCTCAAGCTAAGTTCAGATCGAATACTTACCTCGAACTTCCACGGCCAACTCAAGCCTCAAACACCGCCTTTCCTTTCAAATTCGGCTCCAAATCAATTGTATCTAGACATAATCGACTTAATAACATCAATAAATGCTGAACAATCCAATTCCAATACTTAATTATAGCTTTCTAATCATTCTTCCCAAAAATCCAAAAATTGACCCCGTGCCCGCTTGGTCAAAACACGAGGTTCGGACCAAAACCCGATCACCCATTCATCCACGAGCCCGAATATATAATTAGTTCCAAAATTCGACCCCAAAATGAGGTCTAAATCATAATTAATCAAAAAGCCCTAACTCTACCAAATCCCTAATTTTCTACCCTTAAGAACATGATTTTTAAGCCTGGAGAACTAATGGGTGTTAATGGAAATTAAATAAAATGAGTCTAAGATTACATACCTATGAATTGGTGGTGAAATCCCCTTTTAAAAATTGCCCAATTTGGAGTTAAGATGAAGAAGTTATGAGTTTTAGTGTTAATCCCGTAATGGCTACTGTTCTGGTCTTTTAAAATTACTGGGCAAAATTACTCATCGCGTTCGCGATAGGTTCATCGTGTTCGCGATGGGTTAGGCCTGCTAGGCCATCGGTTCGCAGAGAAGTGACCCCTCGAGCCTTCGTGTTCGCGTCCATGTGGTCGCGTTCGCATTCATGTGGTCGCGTTCGCATAGGTATAATACCCCTCCCCTGCCCAGGTTCAATTAGCCTTCGCGTTCGCGTGGCCAGGACCGCGTTCGCGAAGGGAAGGCCCACCAAGGCTTCGTGTTCACAACCTGGGTTACACGTTCGCGTACAAGGAATTTTCATTCAGCACAATTAACACATCGCATTCGCGAGGGTCCTCCCGCGAACGCGAAGAAGGAAATATGAGAATACCAACAGCTGAAAACCTGCAACTTTTTAAGAGTTTAAAACCTTCCGAAACACATTCGAAACTCACCCGAGCCCTCGGGGCTCCAAAACAAACATACGTACTAACTCAAAAACACCATATGAACTTATCCGTGCGATCAAATCGCCAATTTAACATCATTAACAATGAATTAAACCTCAAAATCAATGAAATATTCCAAAATTTCTTAGAGCATCAAACTTTGCATTGACGGTCCGAATCACGT